TAAAAAAAAAAAAAAAAATAGGAGGCAGGAGGTGAGAGAGGACAGTCCCCACGTCGCCACGCTCGCCACGGCTCCAGCTCGTCACCAACTTTGACCCGCCGTGACAGTCTCTTGTCTCGGCGGTATTAAGAGCTACCCAGGGGGGTGGGGGGACAGTCGTGATACAGGGGAAGAGAGAGAGAGAGAGATGGAGGAAGGGAGGGAGAGAGGGAGAGAGGGAGAAAGAAAGAGAGAGGAAGAGAGAGAGAGAGAGAGAGTCTGATCCAGAGTCTTATCGTATTTAGTAGAGAAACGTTTTATATTTTTTTTAAATCAGTGGCGAGGACAGTTTACCCGAGGGAGAAACGGTCTGCTTATGAAGGAAAGTGGGAGAGAAAGTGAGAGACACAGTAAGAGAGTGGGAAAAGGCAATCAGTTCCAGGACTCTTTTTTCAATATTCTCTTATTTCCGGACGTAAAATTCACGTAGAAAAATATAAATAAAAGTCGACAGCTACAGATCACAATAATCAACATAAATCACAATCTAACATCACATGGCATTCCAAATATTAGAAAACAACAAGTGAGGAGCACAGCCTGATCAGTGACGTCACAGCCTGATCAAGTGACGTCACAGCCTGACCAGCGGCGCCACAGACTGAATGATCTATGGCGCCAAAACATGATCAATGACGTCATAACCTGATCAGAGACGCCATAGCCTGATCAGTGACGTCACAGCCTGATCAGTGACGTCACAACTTGATCAGTGACGCCACTTCTTGATCAGCAAACGTCACTGTCTGATCATCGACGCCGCTGCTCGGTCAGAGTTGTCACAGTCAGCCACACCAACGTTACCAGCAGTGACATCGCCGACAAGCTAGAGACGTCATGGTCTCAACAGTGACGCCAAAGCCCGTAACATCCGTGGGAGGACTGTTGGCATGACCACAAGCTCCGGGAATGGTGGCACTGGCACTGTACAAGGTCAGGTATGGCACGGCAAAATTTGACACTGATGATGGCACAGGGACACAAGACGCCAGTGCTAGGCTGCGCAAGGCGATGCTCAGTTATGAGACCAAAATAAAGAACTGACTTAGTGGCGTAGATCATGACACTGCTGCGCGACCTATCTTTGATACACTTCACCAGTCACTGCCACACTTCTGAGGTCACGGCCGCACACACTGCAGAGGTCACGGCCGGTCACTGCCACACTTCAACATATAAAAATATTGGTGACGGCGAGGCCTTATCACAGGTTCCCGCCCGGCGGTGGCGCGGCGCCCCCGAGGTTACCGTAGTTATGGGTTAATGGTAAGAGTTAATAATGGGCGCGGTGAGAGAGAAGAGGCTGCCGCTGCCGTCTGCCGCCCAGCGCAGGGAATCGCAGTGTCTGGCCCCGCCCATAAAGCTTAGTTAAAGCTTGTAAAAAATGTCTTAATGGAGTAGGAGAGCTTAGGAAGAGCTCCGGGGGCGGTGGGGGGCCTACACCGTCGTCACCACCACCCCGCCGGCGCCAACAACTCCCGACGACACCAGCTGCTGTTGGTGCTGCCCAGTCTGTTGTTGCTGCTGCTGCTGTTGCTGGCCGGGGGCCTGCTGTAGGTGGGCTTGGGGCTGCTGCTGCTGCTGCGTGCTGGTGCCCGCCGCAGAGAGGGACACTCCGCTCGTGGTCGTGGCTGGGGCGGTCGGGGCCGTCGCGCTCGGGGAGCTGCCACTAACCTTTTTGAGCTTCTGTTTAAGATGAACTTTCGCGTGTCTTTTCTTTTCGTCGGACCGCGCGAACTTTCTGGAACAGACATCACAAGAAAACGGCTTCTCGCCGGTGTGCGTGCGAATGTGCGTGGTGAGGTGGTCCGAGCGGGAGAACGACCGCATGCAGATCCGGCACTGGAAGGGCTTCTGGCCCGTGTGGATTCGGATGTGCCGCGTCAGCTCGTCCGACCGGGAAAACCGTCTGTCGCAGTTCTCGACGGGGCACGCGTAGGGGCGCTCGTGCACCGGCGTTTTACTCGGTCTATTGGGGTACTTCCGCGGTTTGACCGGGAGCAGCTTGAGGGGGAGCGGGCTCTGTTGGTACACCTGGGAGAGGATTTCATGTCCTTTACTCGTGGACTGGTTGTACTCGGCCAGGTTAGCGGAGTCCTGGTACAGCGGCTCCTGTTTGGGCACGACCACTCCCGACACGCCCGACGGGCCCGCTACTGGTTCCCCGAGGCTGCCCGTCACGCCGTAAGTCACCTCCGCGGTAAAGCCCGAGTACTGGAACTTGTTGCCCACGCCGCCCACATTGCCCACCATGCCTCGGCTGAAGTGAACGTGCGCCACTCCTGCTTGGCCGACGTTGGCTAACTGCTGCTGCTGTTGTTGCTGTTGCTGCTGCTGTTGTTGCTGCTGCTGCTGTTGCTGCTGCTGCTGCTGCTGTTGCTGCTGTTGTTGCTGCTGCTGTTGTTGTTGCTGCTGCTGTGGTTGCGGCTGTGGTTGTTGCTGAGGTTGCTGTGGTTGTGGT